TTGTGTTTTATTACCGCGAAGAATTGTTGGTTCATTGTCTTATCTGGATCTACTAGAAGTAAAAACAAACACCCTTTACTACAAAGACACAAGTACGTGTATTGTTTACAGACCCAAAACAAAACAGTCCGAAAGAAAAAGATCCACTTGACGGTGTGACGTAATAAATAATTAATTACCAAAGCGTCGTCTTGCTGTCTCTTAGAGCCTCGGGCAATGAGTTGAAAAATTGTTCCACATCAAGTAGTTTTGTCGGTTAGAATCTCGTATTTCTCAATTTCTAGTTATCTTGCCGATCCTATTCTCAATTTTCCCTTAATAAGCGAAGTTTTATCTGAAGAAATGTACTATGAAACCCAGCCAAAGTCAATATACTTTCACATGATAATTGATAATAATGGAATGGAATTATCAGACCGTTTGTTATCGCAGGTTAAACATATCGTCATAGGCAATTACCAAAATGTTATCCGGGACATTTATTTCTTAAGAAATGCGGAATTGTTCTCAAACTAAATAGTTTTAATTTCTTTTTGCCAAGTATAGAAAACTGAAAATGATCTACAATGTCTAGATACAAACGCATTGCTTATTATTTAAGAGTTTTAGGAGTAACCTTTTGTTTTCTTTGTACATTACGTTGAGCCCCTAAAGGCTAAATGTCCTTCGTGGCTGATTTTGTTGTCATTTTCGAGCAATATCACACAGCAGGCTCTAGCTTCACGGAGGTCTTGATAAGCTTATCTTTCTCTGTGGTAGTGCGTTTAAGTAATGATGAAACGTTCTGTAAAATACTTTTTGAACTCATGATATGGAGGCCATAAACAAAGTTATCAACACCATTGAAGCCTTGAGCTTGAAATGATAATCATAATGGGTCTGTAAAGTCGCTGGTTATTTAGTAAGAAAGACTGCAAAGGATTAGCATAGATTGCTGGGACCCATGCAGAACATCGGATGTTTATTCAAGTTCCTAAATTTTCTGACCACGGTGTCGAATATTCGTGATCAGACGTGATCACTTGTGTGGGCATAATTTTTGCAGTTCATTGCACAGGTTTTACTCTGTAGAATGCCTCAACTGACTTCCTCTACCACGGAGAGTGTCTTTGTTGCTTAAGACGAATAACGGTCTCAGTGTAAATGTCATGTCATTCCATGGTGCTGGGTTTTGATGGCTAATACCAAACCCCGTTTTTTCAACGAAAGTAATCTCGTTCCTTCACGCTCTTTAAAGTTATCAGCTATTCTGTCTACCTAAAATTTTCATAGCACGTCATTCTCAGAGAGGCAAAACCAGTATACCACAACATCAGTTTTCGCAAACATATTTTGGAATGCAATAGTTACAGTTTTGTCCATCAAAGCTCTGTTGTACACAATGATGTGGTGAGCATTCCATCCGAAGGATCAACTTCGGTGTGCTTTTCAGCGTGGACAGACTTACCACCGTACGAGTTCCTTCTGAGTCTAGTTTCCAGCTCTGGAACAACTAACACACCTTCAATATTTAGTTTCAGTAGTGAACTTGTTCGTCGCGTCACCAACGGTGGTCTTTTTGCGGATGTTGTGTCAGCTTTCTCGAGGAATGTTTGTTTCTGTAGGTTGCACTCTACCTGTTTTGATTTGTTACTCTGTTCGTTATTGTTTGACAGATCCTGGCCGTCTAAACTCAATGTAATGGTCACTTTGTCACCCGGGTGAATAATAGGACTGCTCATTGTTCCACAAGTCTTGATAAATGTGTTATTAAACAAGCCTACGCAAGGATATTTCACGTTAGTTTAGCGTTCGTGGTCTACAACTTGGCGAAATATCGACCATGTACCACCTTAACTTTGATCGATTGTTGATTCTCAATCAAGTTTGCGATATGACATCATTTCCTTAAGCGATTCAAACCGTTGCAACCGACATCACACCATTAAAGCGACAAATACAAGGTTTTGTAGATAAATTACAAGAAATGATGTCCTTTGCACCTTTTCACCGCCTCGTTGATGTTGATTTTAATCAGCTTGCCAGAAACCATAGTTTCACTTTTGAGTGGCTTTTGGCAGTCATGTGATCAACACTTAAGACTGACGGATCGTCTCATCTACAAAGCGATATGATTTGTAGATAGATAATGTTTCCTTAAAAAAAAAAAAAAATTATGAAATCGTTTAAGGCCTTGAACAAATTCCACGCTCTTTAAGAGTCCCTTTTGCTTTGTTGAACAAGAGCATTCCGAGACGCTTGCGTATTTTAATACTAACATTGGAATTTTTAGCCAATCCATTCTTCTATCTGTCATAAAATGTGTGAAAATATTTAATTGATATATGGTCATTTATGTTAATGAGCGTAACCAGCAAATTACCGGTGTAGTGTTTTGTCTTCTTAATAAATAGAAGTCGCATTCCATTCATTTGATTACCACAAAAAGAAAACAGAATTGTGTGCAACTACAACCTACACTTTCTTATAAAGACTGGATACAATTTTTCTCGATTTTGCTCAACTTCTTTCAACCATGGCCTCAAACATTTGCATGCTTCCTAAAGGGTCTCACTCATTAATAAGGTTGATGACCTTTAAAGTGATCATTCTAAGTAAAGCTTGGCCATTTTACGGCTAGCGTTTCATTTCTCTCTGTTTCTAAGAGAGAATTTACAGCTAACTATTTGAAGCCTAATCAGTTAAAATTTGTCAATTTTTTTCACCTAGTGGCTTAATTTTTTTTTTTTTTACCATTTTACCCCGGTAAAAATCCTATTCCTATTTGCATGATTTTATTGAATAATTTTATATTTACTTTATCGTGAGGCAACTGCAACTCAACAAGCATTAATTAAGCTAGCACTTACAGTGAGATAACGAAATTTTAACTAAAGTTTAACGCTTATCTATCCTCCACGACTGCCACCCCCTGTCCTCTTCTCGTCAAACGTTTTCATAATTCTACCTCTGTAGAACCCTCTATAATCACATGCCAATTAGACCTTTAGGAAACTGTGTACAGTAAATGGAACGCTAGTATTAGTGCTCAGCCCTGCATTGTACAGTATCTTTAAATGATTGTGTCGTAGTCAGCGTTATGTTGTACATTGGAAACAATTTTTTTTAATGAGATTCCCATTGAGAAATTGTATAGCTAAATGTAACCTGTAAAGTTAACCTTAAAACCTTTAAATTAAAAATGGCAGGGAGAACGGGTGACAATAGATTAAACTGAATTAATTAATTACAAAGTTCCGACTTTGCTTAGCTCATCAGTTTTTTTTTTTTTTTTTTAAGTTCTAAATTATGCTCTTTAAAAAAAAAAATAGCGTTTGTCATATTTTTCTTTCCATTTCCCTCTGAAAGTGTTAGATTTAAATTTGGAGGGATGGGAAAAAAGACAGGCAAACTCAATCTTGAGGAGACAATTGAACCTGACACGACGAGGCACAAAGTTTGCTTTTAAGATAAAAATGATTCTTTTCCCTTTAATGCTGTTTAGTAAAAAATGAACTTCCTCATAACAACAGTGAATTATAATCTTAATCTCATTGATTCTCTTTATTAATACGACGTGAGCCGATTTTAAGCTCGGATTTTCAAAAATAGATAAAAAAAAAAAAAGATTGAAGATTCCTCACGGACACGAACTTGATGTCTTGATTCAGTTCAATGAAAAGGAAAATTTGGTCAGTATTTGTATTTGATCATGTCGATGTGCTCGTACCGCCCAAGAAACAACTTTTATTTCTTATTTACCACTGGCCACTGGTGCATTGTAGGGTTCCAAAAGCTGAGACCTAAATAATTTTACCTCACGTAGCCACGGCAATGTGAGCTTGTTATTGTAGCATATTAATTGACAATGTTGTTATTTCAACTCATTTGTCATGAAAAAAAAAAAAAAAATCGTTAATTAATTGAAACAGTATCTGGAGTCAGTGGACTAATCGCCACTTAGCAAAATACACCCTGAAAGACTTAGTACCGGTTTAACCTTGAAGACGCGCTTATACGAGCAATTGACGTCAATCTGTTATATCTCAAGAATGGACTAATACCACAGATAGCGACAGGAAATACCTATTACAGACGTCGTTTTCTTGGTCCGTATTGTAAGTTAAGGAACGAGGCACAAAAGCTGTAAATCCGAGCGGAAAAAGAGAGTTTCCCTACTTACAGTATGGGCCGACAAATTGAGCTCAGTAAGATATTTATCATATCTATGGGTTCAAATAGAGAGGAAAGAATTAGCTGGCCATACAGTACTAATTCAGTGCAAATTGACTAATCAAAGCACGCGTACTACCTGAGAGATACAATAACTTGTTGTTAAAAACGATTGGTTAAACGTTCTGTTTATTTTTTTTAGAATGCAACTATTGTGACAGTAAAGGATGTCCGGCGCTTACCTGCTTCATTGTAGATTTTTCATGTCGACTGTCTCGGTGAGGAGTGTGTACTCGCTTGAATATCAAGAAGTGATTAACATGCTACTTCTCTAAAATAATAATGCTATTATATTATCCACCAAACGAGAAATAATTGAGACCTAGAAAAATAACCAGCTGGATATGGTATCAAATTTTCCGAGATCATTTTCAGGGAAAGTTAATCATTAGACCCTGAGTTGAGAGCGCTAGATCGGGCGGAAAAAAAGATTATACAGCATCTACAATTACAAATCGGCTGAGCGCCATCCTTCTGTTCCAAGAAACAGAGTGACCTTTGGTTACTTTTGTAAGTGAATTTGTTTTTTCTCTTGTGCAAGAGAGTTTTTTTTTTTTATCTCTTGTGCTGATTTTTTATTCATATCCGTGGTTCTACTTGAGCAATCGATCCCATTTTCCGTGGCTCTATAGATGCGACGGCACGATAAAGTCACGCAAGATGTTGGGAGAACACGAGGAACTGAGCAGTGAGCACGATAGGCATCATGGGAAAATTTTGGAATATCAAAGTAAACCATAGGCTGAAACAGATAAGAGAAACGAGGCCTTTGATAATTATCGCTAAACTACGAACGGTAAATCCAATAATTATTTGATATTACGAGCTAGATTATAAAAATAGAGGTTTAAGATGTGACGTCAAACAAAACATCCATGGAGGTATGACGTGATGAGGACAGTGTATGCCAGCTGGAATAATCCACCTGTTTTTTGTTTTGTTTTTGTTTTTAATATATTTTTTTTTGTAGTCAGTCTGAGATGAAATACTTACACAAGTGTATAAAAGTACAAAGAATATCAGATGCGAGTTAGGGTTTGCCTATTCTATCAGCTTTATTATATTTGAAGATACCAGGAATTTCTTTTCACAAGGTTACGATAACAAGCAAAAGTATACGGGCAGCCTTGCTGTACTGAAACTATGCATACATTCCCATATTCCAATACTTGATCGTAGGTCAAAGGTTTTGCCAAGGGATAGTGGACATTTTGTACATTACAAAAATTCACTTTTTTTTGGAAGTCTACATGCGTGCGTGCGTGCGAACGTTTGAGCGTGTGCGAGCGCGTTAAGTCTAGATAAACTATACAGTTTGACGTCTCGGCCTAAGAATATCAGTTTACGATGGTAAGAGATCGATCGATCGATAATCAGGTAAAGAGCGAAGATTTAGGATGGGCAGGATCAGTAACTCGATTTGCGCATGAGGAATTTAAGCTAAATGTATGGCTGAACCAGCTTTCTCAGTCAAATCATTCGGTGATTTTTGATCCATATGCAACTCGTTCTTCACTCCATCTATAACTGTAGATTTAATTTGCACAGATTAGCGTTTTAGAGCCAATTTCCTATGTTCAAAATACTGTCTTTAGTCAGTGTGCCATTCAATCTGTGTATCCGTCAGGAGTAGGTGAACACCTATAGGATATAAAAAAAAAAAATAAAAAAATGTTGGGTAAGGACAGTACTACTTGTAATTTCAGCTCCTCAAAATGCTGAGCTTAGAAAAGATAACGGATGTTTGTTTTTATTTTAAAATGCTAAGCCGTGATAGTCGTTGGTCACACGTACAGCAAAATGTAGTCATATCGCAAATTTGCTACACAATCAGTGTGGGAGATTAGGCTGAAAATACCGTCAAAGCCTAAATTTTGTTTTCAGACTTCACACACCCCTCCCCCCCTTTCCTTCCCCCCCCCTGCAATTCATGGTTAAAAAGAGTAAGGTTTCTAAGCCAGTCACAGTACGAATAAGGGAAAACCAAAGCAATCACTAAACACGAACTAATAACAGTTCTTTGAAAAATATCCTCAAGGTAGGAGCTACATCTTTTAGACCAAAGGTATGATATAAACGGAGATCTAGATCTACTGATGGACTTTTTCGAGTCTTCCCCCTGGAACTAATTAATTGCCCATTAAAAGAAGAAGAATTTCTGAGAAATTAATTTTATAATCCCTCGTACCCGTAAGGTACACCGTTACGGTTACAGGCTTCAATCATTGAATTAAGTCGTTTGAGATTTCGAGTCGCCGCGGTAATCAGCGGTATCCATCGATAGCCATAAAGATTTCAACGGCGCTTAAACATGGCCAGTGACAATGATTTTATCTTGACTTCGAGCGCTCCCTGAAAAGCACTCGACATCAAGAATGACTGAAATGATATCAATAGAGTGGGCCTAACTGCAGAGAGATGTTCCAGATAAGGATCGGACTGGCGCGCAGTAACCTTGGAATTCGAAATGCTCTTCGCCGTAAAATTGAAATCGCTAGTTCATTAACTAGGCTAAGAATGAATGCATGCTCATAATTTAAATCTTTTGGATTTATGAGCAGCTTGAATATTACCAAGGTTTTATCAAGACTATTTGAAACTTTTTTTTTGAACAGACCACTTAAGCTGATATTCGAGTTAAAGGTCACGATAATTGAGTTAGGTATTGATGGAGTTAGTTATGACACTATGGCACCCAGGCAAAGTAACGTTCCAAGCGTTTGAATCAGCTCGGATGTATTTAATTTTCTAGAACCTTCTCTTTTTTTGGCTGACAATAAAAAACGAGAGGAATTCCGAAATTCGATAATTGCATCCGACATAGGACGCTTTATCTGCGATATCTGGTATTCCTCAAAGTCTTTCTAGCATGAACATTAGTGTTCTGTCAGAGATAAGATCGGATGTAGGGATGCTTTTGCATAACGCGGAAATTTTTAGAGTTTCTCGGTCGGATGAGTGATGATTCTTTTGAATCTCCTTTGAACAGCATGGCGAGTTGGTATGTTTTTGTTAAAAATTGTTTTTTCATCCAAAACTTAGTGCAAGTTTTTGTGGCTTTGCAAAGGGATGTACTTGAGGGGAAATTCTTTAATAAAACACACGAGCTTAGTTCCGCAATCTGAGCTATGTTAGGAGCAAATTCCAGTCATCAACGTTACGATGAGTCAGAAACTCTGTAACTAGAAATACCACCCTTCCGAGTGTTAGTATTTCTGGGTCCCAAGGGAATAGACGCGCGACTGCGCGAAATCACGGGCGCCTGAGTGGCATGCGTGAGAATGTGCCCCCTTGGCTCTGAGGCACTTGTGCAAACGAAGGGGGAAGGTGTCATAAGTCTGTTAGCAACACAAATCATCGTATCGCGATAGATCTGCGGCTTGAATATTATGATGAGATTATGTAAACCCTTGCAAAACTGAAGGTAACTGTTCTTTTTTTGCCGCAATTATTAATACATTTTTATTGAGCAAGTTTGGTAAAGCAAAGAAAAAATAGAATGACAGCAATGACTTTTTTCGGCGTTGATCCGATCAATAGTGAACCAAAATTCCACGAAGGAACGAAATGACAGATCATAAACAGTTTCGCGCCAAATGTCAGTTACATGCATACTTCGTTGCGGCCTACATGAATAATCTGCATCAAAACTCCTTGGTTAAATTTTGAAATAATTTCACGTCTTTCAAGAGAGTTCTTAAAAGATTACCTTATGACAGAATAGGAAGTGTCACACACTGTTAATCCTCCTTTGCGTGACTTCGATTTACCGTTCGTACGCCAATAACAGTTATTTCAGCAACTTTAAATGGAATTAGGTGCTATTTATATCTTCCAGCTGTGTTGTGATTGCAGCGTCTGGAGCGAGGTCACGCGAAAGACGAAAGAAGTCACTTGAACCTTTGTAGGGGCTGTAACCCTACACCAGGCATTATTAAATGGCCGTGCGTCACGAAACACAATACACAGCTTGTGTCTTGCCTGATTGAATGTCCATATTCACAACGAAAAGCTGTAGGCCCGGCCGTGATCGTTGTCTCATTTGTCTGGTCTTCAATTGAAAAACACTCAAAAAGCTCTTCGCCTAGAATAGGCAATTATTCAGACGATAGATATCTCGACGAAACGATAGATCTAAGGACAGGTAACGGAAATGGAAAAGGGACCGATTGGGTCGCGGTGTTCGAGTTGATATTCGCTGTTCGAAAACTTGCAGTCTGTTGGTTGAGTGATATATCAAGTACGGAATCTTAACAAAACAGTCCAAGACACAATAGTGTACAATATAAACAAGAACCTGTATACTTAGGTTATTATTCGAGGTCATTGGCGTAGATGCCTTTTGTAGTGGAGCATCTGGCTGTCTTTTGGATGGATTCTGAAGAATGAAACAAGACAACCGTACAGATATGACATCCGCAGTTCGTCGACTCGGCCAAGAGATTTCTAAACTTGGGCTTCGGATGCGTAATCGATCTCCATCTGGCAGCGATAGTGATGTGTTCTCTTCCACAGATGAATTAGCAGCTAAGGGCAGCTTGGGCGTTCATTCGGAGAACACTTTGTCCGAGGATAATTTGGAAAATGATGGAGCCTCAGGACCGAACGGTGTTGAGCAACCAGTTACACAAAGACGGCATTCGAGGAATGAATTGGACGAAGACGTGGAATGTAAAGAGCGTAGAAGCTCTATCAAAGCTGCTCTACGACCAGTTCTTTCTCGGAAGGCTCGTTCCGATTTAGCAAAATACTCACGTCCAAACCAAGACCTTAATCTTAAGCAATTTATCGAGCGAAAAAGTGGCTCAGTAAATGATTTCACCGAGGAAAGTCTTAAAGAAAATAATGTCGATGGCCATGAAACCGACAAGAACGGAAAGGGCGAGGAAAGATCTTGTGAAATGTCTTCCGCGACATATCGTGTTGCAGTTGGAGAGAGGCAAGCCGAGGAACACGCCAACAAGACGATAAAACCTAAACGACCGAGACGTCCTAAGCGAAGTAAGTCTTTCAGTGGTTTGTTGAACTGGAGACACGGAGCTAAGCAAGCTAACAAAGAGGCGACAAGGAGCGATAGCTGCGAACCAGTTGTACGAAAACTGGTACGAACTAGAAGCAATTCGTTTAGCGGCAATGTGGACAACATCCGCAGCAGTAGGAACGCTATTTCTAGAACGTTGCCAAGTCAGAATTATATGGCACAAGATGTAACCGAAACAAACGGTAATAACACAGTCAAAAACTGTCCACAAATTTTTGTTACTTCTTCCTCGAACAACGAAGAGCATGCTAATGGAACACGCTTAAGCTATATGGCCTTGAAAGGATTTAGATTTGAACAGGGCATGATTGAGACAGATCTGTGTTCAACGGAGCTTTGAAAGTTTTGCCATTCAACACTTGAAATCGAGAAAATAATATGGGATGTTACTTTGATAAGTGGTTGTACGGCCGGCATTGAAATTGCCTTAGTACTTGACCCGTGCGACTTGAAATGGATGAAAATCTGTTTATTGTCTACATTGTGGCGAGCTTTGATGTAGTTTCTGGTTGATTACAGACGGTCTACTTAGAATTCTAACTGAAACTTGATTAAGTTTTATGCGATTTATTAATGTTTAGATCCGGATGTTTGCATGGCAAAATCCTTGATTAGCAAAAGCTCTAAAAGAGCCGAATTTATTGACAATAAAAGGGTCAAGGAGTTTTAATCCGTTTTGGGTATAAATGATGCATCAGCAGTCAACTCGAACTGTTTGCTTCTTTGGAGAAGTAACAACTGCCAAATTTGCCTCGACTACGCGAGTTATTTTCCGCTGCCTAACCGTATTATGTATTTCTAAGCGGGTAATCAAGGTAGTGACCAAAATTCAAGCAGTCAACGTGTACAAAATTTCTACTTAGAGTAATTGATCACGTCTTATCACATGATCTTCAGCTTATCTAAGCCGACAAATGTTATCCTGTCGTAAATAACTTATCCTTTACTTTTGTACACATCTAAAAGAGAGATCAAACTTGTACACAAATAAAACATTTGTTATGTTACTTAGAAAGCAGTTTGAGGCCAATAATCAATTAACCACCCCTGGTTTCCTTAGCGAAATCAGTCATCTGTAGGTTCTAAATTTGTAACATTCACATGCTCAGAGAAGCGGAAACGTTTCATACCAAAAGTAGTGAGCGTGGTTTTAAAACTGTCTTAAGCTGTTACAACTGGTCTTTTGAAAAATTCTATTTAAGAACTGCAGTTTTGCACGGTGTAAAGTGAAGAGAAAACATCCCGGAATGAACTTGTTGCAAGTGCCGTGACGCTCGTCACGGTTTGTGATTCTTGAAACTCGGTCTTGTCACAGTGTGCTCAACATATAAATTCTTCGCAGGATTCTTTCGACTCAAGTATCAAGAACTTTGTTACATCTTCATGGCAAAGTCCTTGTTTTACTGATAGCGTAAAGAGAAATTTGATCTTATTTACTCTTCAGAGCATAACATAAGGATAAAAACTGATAAAGATGGAGGTTCTCCTTACATCCCTGGTCATATTTAATAGATCACTTTAGATAGAAAGGTGTCAAGGATGATTGAGAGACTTCTGGAAACAATTAGATCCGTTTAAGAGTCAATAGAAGTGTAGAAAATCACATTTCCTCCATTGAATATTTCAATTATTTTACGGAGCTACATCATTTTACCTTTAAATGGGATGGAGACCTTTAAAAGTTTCCTCGGGTAGCAAAACCCACCAAAGAGGAAAGAGTAGTTGAAAGGGTGCAAGGATGGAGAAGATCGGCAGAGATTACGGGATGCAGAAGCCGCGAAGGGTTTTTCTTTTAAAAGCCCCCCCCCCCCCCGTAGATGTCTGGACTGTCAGACTTTGAAGTTCTTCGCACAATCTTTTTGTAAACAACGTTAGTGAAAAAATATCGATTAGAACAATATGCTGTCTTGATTCGAAGGGTTGGCATGCTTGCACGTTTACATTCGCCAAGTTTGACTTTGGTGAAATTTTCAATCATCGTTCAGCCCTGACTTCGTTACACTTAATGAGCATGTCTGAGTATTTCACTACGCCCTACGTTTAGGCATGCAGTAAACAGCTTGTGTATGTCAACAACGCTATTGAAACTCACGTCATATGTCACCAAACGAAAGCGACAAAGTGGAAGAAACATAACATTACGACTTTCATTATTCACTCTTAATTTCAATGGCGCGTTCTTTTCTTCCTGCGCCTTCATCATTTTTTGCAAGAGCGAGGGGAGGGGGGGGGGGTAGGGAAGATTGTGTTATTTGACCAAAAAAGTATTTCACCATTCAAGTACCTCTCCTTTCATTTCGGGTCATTGCCTCTCGTAATATAAATTCCCTTCAATTCTTTTGAATTCTCTAATTTCCAAAAATCAACAGATTGGTTTTGTGATCCTCATACGTCGCCTGCAGAATTATTCGTACTGTCGTGATATACATCAGTCAATTAAACTCGATATGAAACGTAAGAACACTCTCAGTAAGAAGGATTATGCAATGAGAAGATGAAAGCCCACCAAATTGACCAATGAGAGACTGAATCAAAATGAAAACAGGCTATAATTTTGGCATGATTTTTAGGTGGGACAGGTCTTAGCGAAAGTTAACCTTAATGCCATCGTTAAAAAGAGAATGGTTTGCTACTTCGCTGTCTCTAAAAAGGGGCACGGAAACAACTGCTGTAAGCGGAGTGATAACTCGCCGATCACGAGAGAGAGGGCGGGCTATTTCTGGATGATTATGTAATATAGATCGTTGTGTGGTGGTAATGAGCCCCAGCGACGATTCTCCATATAAGTCAAACGTAATAAGATGAAATGATCTTATTACAGGACTCGGGCAGTCAGAGGGCCAATAACTAAAATCAACCAATCAAAATGCTCTATTGCCGGTCAATATTCTCTCAATATTGGACCGGACACTGTCCCGAATGGTCCCGAATGATACCGAACCTGCGTCCCTTTGAACTTCAGTCGTATAATAAATCTCTTATTAACCAAACTTGCTCGGGACCGTACTGGAAGAATATCGGCCCTCGGTCTTTTTTGTACGGACCTCGCTGCGCTCGGTCCGTACTCTCAAGACCTCGGGCCGATATTCTCCCAGGACGGCCCTCGCGCTTGGTTAATAAGATATATGTATGTCCCTACTAATATTTATGAATAGGAGACTGAATCTTCACATTTAAAGTTACTCATAGCAGAGTCAACACCACCTAAGTCATTGAAACTTAGTAAACTTCAAAAGTGCTTTTGAGGAAGAAATGATTTGCTTGAGAAGTTGCTCTTTCTTCATCGACTCCTGTCTCTCTTCGTAGGCTGATCATACGACTGAGGTCAAAGTGGTGTTGCAGATCACAGTGGTTGATGTTTGGACATACTGAGTGAAAATCATCATAAAAACTCATCTCTGAGAAACTTTTGTTAGGCTCATCCAAACGTTGAGACCTGTCACCGAACATAGTATCTTTCATGTATTCCTAAGGCCAAGGCAGGACTTACTTTAAAACTGTTTTTGTTGTCATGACAACGTATAAGTTTCTTATGTTGTTAGCCTGGGATTCGTGCCAATCGGATTTTAACCTTTTTTTTTTCGTGGTGTTTTTTTGTTTTTTTCTTTTTTATGTGATTTGCATTATGCAATTCAAGCAACAAAAATAGGAATTGATCATGAAAAGAAGCAGACTGATTTTTGAGTTACCACATTCATTACAATGCTGAAGATTTAGAAACTAAAATGAAGCTTTGGGTCTGTAAAGATAAGGGAACTCTGGAGAATGAGTCTTTGCTTATGACAATAAATCCCTAATTTAATGTATCAAAAGGGTAGCAATGATTGTAACTATTTCCTTCGTAACATACTGATCTAATTAACTCGAGAAAGACATGTTTTCCTCTACAGAAGCGATGCGTCTATAGCAAGTTAGAGCCAGTCATTTGCAAAGTAGTATCAGTTTCATCTTTATTGCAGTCGGAGGGCCTCCTTAAAAGGAGGGTTGGGACTGTTCAAGAGGAAGCATGTGGTATCATACTCTTGATACGTGATACATCAGCTATCATATAGTCGGTGATATCATACTCTTGATATTGATACATCAGCTATCGTATATAGCTGAAATTGCTATCTCAAGTACGTGTATTTAAACAAAGCACCAGTTTCACTTGAAAATCGATTTTGTAATTTACCACTCAAAAAAGTTAACATTTTCAGTAGGAGGATCTGTAGATTAGTGAAAAATAAGTTCTCTGAACGTCATTTACTTATATATTGCCTTTAGATAGAGGAAGAGATCTGATCGCGGTCACCATAGTCGAGGTGGTGGAGTTGTCTAGAAAGAGGGCAGGGGTAATGAAAGGCTAGAGGAAGCATGGCCATCAGTCGAAGAAGGAAGAAGAGAGAGTGATGTTAAAGGGAGGGCCACTAATAATTAATGAAGAAGAAGGGTTTGAGAGAAAATGGTTAACAAGAATGTAGTATTAGAGATAAGGGATATTAGGGAGAAAGAGAGAGAGCTTAACACCGAGATGATGTTATTCAAATGCAGAAAACACCCCGCACACGCCTCGTTTGATTCTCTTCCGAATAAACGTATTTATCTTCAAATGGGGACTTAAATTTTGCTTAGTAGCCCGCACCTTGAAACGTTGTTCTTCAAAGTTTTTATGTCTGGCAATTTTGTTTTTTTGTTGTTGTTGTTTTTTTTTAAGATGATGTCTATTCTCACCAAGATTAATTGGATATCGAGTTAATCTTTACAAAGAATTGAACTTGTCTTTAATTTGGTATCACTATGAAGTGTACGGGAAAGGTAAACCCGGTAGGAGACGTACATATTTGAAATGACTCGACAGACCGCGGTGTCTGAGAAAGATCTTTTAACATGACGTCTGTATTTCAATGTTACACTCTGAGGTTCTGTCATATCGAATTTTAGCTAAAAAATTACTTCCAGCTTTGATGAAATCATTTCAACTGAATATAAAGTATGGAGGTTATTCAGTATTCTCCTTTTAGATAAAAAAATTCTTCTTTTCGTGATTGTCGCTTTCGCTTACACAGACGTAAGACAGCATTTATGACCGCAAAGTAATTCCTCTTTCTTTCAGCAGTATTTTTTTTTTAAATTAGAACTGAAGTAAACTCCCCTCGTAAGAAAGAAGTACGTATCAGTGTCAATTTAAGGGAAGCTGGCCCATCGAGATTGATAAGCTTTCACACTTTTTTGTAAAAGAATGAAAACAATTTCGAATACAATCAGGTTTTGTTTGTCTGTAGGATTATAGCATTCGTATGGTAAACAATAATGACTATTTTTTAATAAGTGGATAACTTACAGGAAACGGTGATTGACAAATTTTGATGGCGATGCTAATTAGCGATTAGCTAAGTTCTAACAAACAGAAATTTCTATAAACTATTTGTTATTTGTCCCTTTTAACATGAATTAAAAGTTATCGAGTACTATTAAAGTTTGTACTGACCTCATTGTCCTCCTACAGATCAGTTGAACACAGGTCTGTTTCTCTCGCTGCCGAGTTGAGGAAGTCACTCCACGAACTACTACCTTTCATTACCTCCGAAGGACTAATCCTCAAGTTCCCGATGGTATAAATGTCGCTCCATGAGAAACTTCTCTTTCTTCGCGGTGTCGTTTTGTTTTCTCTCTTAGCAGTTGTCGTGGTTGTTTCAGAGCGGCTCAAAGTTGAAGCCTGTTTGGGATCCTCCATTGAATCTTGCGTTTGATCGTTTGCCAGCTGTTGTGTTGTGTCCGCTTGCTCGAGTGTTATGATTGGATGCGTTAAGTGAGAAGCTCTGTCCACTTCTTCAGGTGGTTGAATGTATATTGTAGGAATTACAAAGTTATTTTGCTTTAATTTTGAGTCGTCAATCTGGGAAGGCGGCACGCTAACCTTTGTGCAATTGGCTTCTTGGTTTAACCCTTTATCTTTCTCAGTATTTGTAAACAAAGTAGCGCAATTCGAGTTACTTTTCTTCAGCCGGGTTTTTGTTCCCAACAGGATCTGAAGTAAGGTTTGTGTGTCGTTTGGTTTCTTTAACATTCTCGGCAGAGAGAATGATCTGGTTCTTCGAAGGTCCTCTCCATTTTGGCCAACAGAAGGACAGTTCTCAAACTTAGCGCGAGGAATGTTTTCAGCTGACCCTCCAATCTCCTGTTGCATAGAAATATCTTTCAAACAAATAGGACCATCTCTCCTTTTACGCATTTTGTGTCGTACTGTGGCCATTTTTGACGTGGTAATACGACGGAATCACCGAAGGAAAGCACCATCTGATGAACTCAGCAATAGGTGATGCTAGTATACCTTTGACTTAATTCAGTTATTTAAGGAAAATGAAATTCAAGTCACATGGTGAAAGTCACGCAAATATCTACGCGTGCGATAGATAACTCAAATTTCCTTTTCGATTTCCGAACAACGCCTGCCTTCCTGTACACAAACAATCCGCACTTTTTGACGCTGTTATGGGGTCAAGTGGACGAGTTGATTTGCTTTTACATCACGGAATTGCAAGGCGAAACCAGCCATCTTTCTGTTTTCATTTTAGTTCAAAAGGATTGACAGTCAATTGTTAGGTCAATAACCACGAATGCAAACGTATGTTGTTGTTGAAAATTAAGAAGAGAAGAACACTCTTGTTTTGTTTTGTTTTTTTAGCAAAGGAGTTAAACTGCAAACTAGTGATCACAATGACTACAGCCCCATTAGCAGCAGCTAATTACAAAACGTGGATAAACGTCAAACGATAACAATTTACCCTCTTAGACTCTCCATCAAGTTTTATTTCTTTCTAAAATTGACAAAACATGGGCTAGTATAATATATCAATAACCATTGTGCTAATATGGGTGTAGTTAGCTGTAATTTAGATGTAATGGTTGCATTTGATTGATACCTTAGAATAAGGCGCTAAGTTTCAGAAGAAACTGTGGTGCTGCGTCAGCGGAGGTTTACTAGATAATTTGGTTTTAATCACTGAGTTGATGATGTGAGTTGGCCATTTTATAAAAGGATTCTAAAGCTGATCTTTCAATCACTAACCTTAAGTCAGGCACTGAAAATGGCCAATTCAAATTATCAACACAATTGACTAAACCAAACTATCTAAGCGGATACCTGGTTTACGCAGGAAGCTTAAGTAGATCACAACCGCCCTGTCATTGATTTAAGCTGGTCAGGTCACCATTTCTAAATTCGCGTACAGGAATCTTACTGCACGAAGACTAATTTTGACTCCTTATGACGTATTTCGTGTCTTCTTAAGTCGCAGTTTGAGTATTATTGCGAAACAGATGGAGATAAAGGGAAAACGTAGTCACGACTTGCATGGCCCGCCTACGATTTTCGAATTTTTAGCATCGTGGAAAATCATTCTTAAGCTTTCAATGAAAACTTTAGAATAACACCATAGTCACGGCTTAAGCAAGCTTACCTTAAGCAGAAGATTGCCAATAAAAATATTGTGCACGAGATTGTAATATTTTGTATTATGTTAGCAATTTAGCATTTGAACTCTCGCAATAATGCCAATAATTGTCCAGCAACGAGGTAATAAAACAGCTTATTCGATATGCGCGGATAGTTTGCGAGTTGCATTTTTTTTTTCCCGAACCCTGTTGTTAGGGGTGAGGAAAATACGAACAACGAGCTAAATTTCCGCGCGTATATTAAACCATCGACTAGGGGATTTATTATTTCACTATTATTTTTTCCGTGTATTTTGGCATTTAGTCGAAATACTTCCAGCAGCTTTATCTGAGCATCACATTTATTGCTTGAGGCGTGGGAAAAAGCGGTAAACAACACATACGAGTTCTTTAAGATCAATTAAAAAAAAATTGGGACAGCTACAAATCCTGATCAGATCTCACGGAAATTTAATATGATAAGCTGAATCGTGACATACTAACAGCGCTGTGATTCATGTGCATATTATGGCTACAATTCTACTCTTCTAATTGTGCATTTGTTTGTTAACGACCGTTAATTTGTTTTGTTTCCTTTGTTTTTTTTGTTTTTTTTTCCTTTGTGGGTTATGAGTCTGCAGATACGGCCGACTCATCGTAGTCTGGATTGGTTCTTCTAAGGGACGATCAATATCTTCTGAAATTTCAAACATAGCTATTGGTATTTTTGGTTTTACTTTGATTAAGTTATTCCTTTATTATCATTATGTCGCAGAGAAATCAACTGAATGCTACATTCTAATCAGACAGCACAGGGCAAAAACCGTAACGTGTGAGCCATGGAGTAAAAAATAAATGTAGATTAACTAATCCTAAAAAGCTTTTCCGTTGTGTCTACGGTCCTCCTTCTAACAGGAACTCAAACTGCCACCTTGAAAGTCCGGGCAATATTCAGCGTTCCCGAGAGCACTGCCCTCTGCATCTTTCGCAGTACGTCTGTGCTTCTGTCTCCCACCAGCTCGCGCATCATGACACACAGCTCCCGTGACCACCCCCCGAGGGCATCCATAATGATGTTATATTGCTTCACCTATTATTATCTTATATTATTATATTGCGTGCCTATGAAGGGAAGGTTTTTATGTCCTTGAAGGAAGCTTTAAATTCAGTGATGTCATAACTATCACCCACTCATCCTCAGATGATCGCGTCAACGTTAAGTCGAAAGTGGATTCCTTCACAGTTTTGAGCAATGTTTTGATAAACAACACTGCCGACGAAAGAAGTCAGCACGGCAACGTGATGAACCATTAAAAGACCTTTATTTTGAGTTTAATGTTAATTAACTCAAAAGTGTGTTCCTTTTATTAATGAGACCGTTATTTTTCAATTATGATTAAATATCAACTAGGTTCATCAGTTCTTGAGTTTGAGCTCATGTTCATGAGTCGAGTCAAACTTATGACTTTGTTGTCAATTTTTCTGTAACAACTCTAAGGTTGACGCTATCGAAATTGCCGATCCCTACAGCATGCAGGATACAGTCATTTATGAACTTCGTAATGAGCTAAACTCACTATATATTCTCTGTGGTTCAGGGTAGAGCATCGAAACCTCGAACTCCGAAGGTCTGAGGTTCGACTTCTCATGAGTATTTAAGAGAAGAGTTTTTTTTTTGTCCCACGCTCGTGACAAGACGAAAGAAATCTTTCCCGTTCTTATTATCGAGCTCAAAACTTACCATCTTTTCTTTTCCATTTACAAAAAATCTTAGGCTGGTCGAATCCTTTAACACGTTTATCACAATATCTCCTCTATTACTTTTATTCTTGATGCATAAACCTGGCATTGGTATAGAAGGATTTTTATCTTAATATTGCATGTTCAGCAGATTTGTGCGTCGCTTTTGCAAAGAGGATATTCTCAGAACAAAACGATAAGAAAGTTTAGAAAGAGAGTGCAGTGCAAATGATATTGATTCAACAATATTTAGCTAGGTTTTTATGTCCTATTGCCTACAATATACTGATCATAATTACGTAGCCTGCTATTCGTTTTTGACACAAGAAAACCAATGTGTAGTATCAAGGAAAGCTGTTTGATTTGGTCCACTTTGCGCCATGTCGCAACAGTATTACTAAAGGCTTCATCGCCGTCGGTGACTCGTGAAAGAAACTACTTGTTCATTCAGTTTGCAACCGCACTCGCTGTTCTCTGTGTCCAAGCATCCTCCCATCTATTTAATTGATCTTTCTCAGTTTGGAAGGTAACATTTTTGGCAAGACTGGTTTCTCCCTCGGTTAATGCAGATATTACAGACGTGAAAAGCACTTCACGTATCTCTATGAGGGCAAAAACATCCTTTATGATGAAAATGATTAGTTTTGAAACGTCGTTGTTATCACTGGTACAGAGGGCTAAAAACAATCAGCCTCTTTAGGTAAATATATCTTCTTATCATAGGTTAGAAAGTTCAATTCAATAGATAACTGATAACCACGCACAGAGATCATCTCTTCAGTACAGGTATTCAATGCTTATGGAACCCAATGGCATATTAAAGGCTGCCATGTGAAGGACCCACCCCTGCGGGAAAGAAGAAACTGAGGGGACGAGTGAAGATCATTGGGAAAAATGTTACAGAAAGTGAAAAGAAAAAATGGATAGACCTGGAACTAGGTTCAAAAGCAATCATGCGACATAAATTTGCATTCGACGTTTTATATGATGCTCCAACTGAGCATGCAGAAAATAGATTCAAGAAAGTCATTACTTACAAGATTTTAAAAATGCGGGATATATGCTAAGAGTTAAGGTCCAAGGCGATAACTTTCTCACTGGAGAAAGATATTATTAAAGTTTAACTAGCAATCACCCAGCTTAAGTCATCACTTTTGCGAAAGACTGACCTCCCCCCCCGTTTCCCTCCCCGGCCCCTCCTCGCCCCTAGAGTTGGCTTGAATAGCCATTTCAGCCGCTGTTGCATATCCAACTTAATCGTTGGTCTAGGACATCCATCTATCTCTACAGACACATGTAACCATCGTTGTTATTTGTCAGTCATGTGAGGAAACGTGTCTAAGCGAACTCTTTTTTTTTTCACTTTGGAGTATATTTTGATCATCGATTGTACAAAAACTCTCCGGAAAAGAGCCAGATAAAATCGCAAAAGCGATCTAGGATCACATAGAGGCCCCAACCTACAAGCTTGATTGTCAAGTTTGAGATGCTTCCTATCAAAATCCTAAAGTCGAACACACGAGCGCAATTCCTACGGAAACATACCGATCCATATGACTTGACTGTGACAGTGAGTAAAAATAACTTTCCGTAGTCGTCATAGGAACTGATATCTGTTTTGTTAGCCATTATCAGGCCGGTATGATTTTCCCTTCAAATGTACACAAAAGCTTTAACTTTTCAAAGCGTTTTTACAGTAATTGTCTATTGTTTCTATATACGTACCAAAGTACTGGCTTAAGACAAAATTACTTTAGCCAAAGTTATTTTCAGAACAATTGCAAGTTTAGAGTTACCAGTGGATAGAGGAAACGTCCCAAATGTCAAACGTCTATTTTGGTCACGTTCTCAGGTCATTTAATGGTTTTAATAGGACCCTTGGGAAATCCGAATGCCTTAATGTTGTAAACAAGGATATGATCGTAGATGGAGCACTCCAGACTAAAATTCTTTAACTGAAGGTTAAATCCATGAAAGTGATTGAACATTCGACGATCTTCTTTACATCTTTGCATCTTTGGCATTCCTTTATTAGCAGCCGAGTGTAAATAACAATGCAATTTTAGCGCAAGGTTATCGGTACATCTTTCAAGTGTTTTATTGATCAGCACTTGTCGGAGTGTTTGGATTCCCGGCTTAAGGCTGCAATTAGCGTCAAATAATACAGCACATCGCCACATAACACACCAATCAGCGAGTTTTAAAGCTTAGTGTAATCACATGATAAATAGACGTTTTTTTTAGGCGCAACACACGGGTCAAAGTGTACTCAAAAAGCCTCTTACTTCGCAATCTACGATCTCTGCGAGAAACTGTAATGGAGAAGTTAAAGTTTGGAATAAT